GCCAGGCTGGTCTCAAACTCCTGACCTCAGGTGATCTGCCTACCTTGGCCTTCCAAAGTGCTGAGATGACAGGCGTGAGCCACTGCACCCAACTAAGTGTTATTTTTTTTTTTAAACTTTACCATGGAAACTTTAAAACATGAGCAAAATAAGAGAGGATAATACAGTTCAGCCCAGAGCCCAGCCCCCAAACAACCATAAACGTATGCCCAGTCTTGTTTCATCAATTACCACAGACCTGCTGAATTATTATAAAGCAAAACTATATCCTTTTATCTGTGAATACTTTAGTATATATCTCCAAGAGATAACGATTCTTTAAAAAAAACATAACCACAACCCCACCATTATCACACCTACAAAATGAACAATAATTCATTAACATGAAATGTCTAGTCAGTGTTTGAAACATCCCGGTTGTCTCATAAATGCCCTTTTACATTTGGTTTGTTTGGATCGGGGAATATAAAATATAGAAAAGACTTTTCCCCACTCACCCATGTAGTTTATGATTTAAATGGAGAACCTGCTGTTAGTCACCAAACTGATTGCCGCAGCTATTGCACTGGGGACTCCGGGCAGCTGGCAAAACATCCTGCTTGGAAGCAAATCCTGAAGAGGAAGTCCATAGAGGTTTCTGCAACATAAGGCCCATGAAACCGGGCCAAAGGAAACAATCTTAAAAGAACAATGACTTGATTTACTGTCTGGCTTAACAGCAAGTCTTGGAGCCCCTGCTAGTTGATTGGAATTAAACAGCAGATTTCCATTTAGGAAGACAGTTCCTAGAATGTCTGTCCATTCCTTGCACTGTATGTAGTTCCAGTGCCTAGCGAAGTGTCTGACATGTAATAAGAACTTGGTTCATGTGTTATGTTCTTTGTTCCCCCATTTTTTTTTTTTTTTGAGACGGAGTCTCGCTCTGTAGCCCAGGCTAGAGTGCAGTGGCCGGATCTCAGCTCACTGCAAGCTCCGCCTCCCGGGTTCACGCCATTCTCCGGCCTCAGCCTCCCGAGTAGCTGGGACTACAGGCGCCCGCCACCTCGCCCGGCTAGTTTTTTGTACTTCTTAGTAGAGATGGGGTTTCACCGTGTTAGCCAGGATGGTCTCGATCTCCTGACCTCGTGATCCACCCGTCTCGGCCTCCCAAAGTGCTGGGATTACAGGCTTGAGCCACCGCGCCCGGCCTGTTCCCCCATTTTTAATGAGGTGAGCAGGAAATATGTATTCTAGTTAATGAGATTTCAGTTAATTCAGGTTTCACGGCACATGGCTTGACACAATTGCATACAGGTTTCCCCAAGTAAATCAGTGTTAGTGGCCATTCCTAAAATGAATTCTGGCAAAACTATAATTAAAGCTACACTTTACAAGTGAGAGGCAATTGGTAAACAGCTGGAACAGCCAACCCCAACCCCAAGTAGGTTGGCTCTTCCTGGCAGGCTTCTCCCTGGCAGACCACAAAAGCAGTTCCAGACCAACTGCTTGGTCACAGGAGGCTTTGGCCCCCCCAGGATCTGAAAGCAGCAAAGGCAACCCGCCCCCTCCTCAAAGTCCTCATTCAAGGGGTGGATCACAAAGGCCACCTAGAATGCAGGCAGAGTGAGGCTTACTGTGCCTCCACATTTTGAAATTGCTTGAGGCACTACTTATAGCTCTCTGCATTTGTAAAAGCGATTCATTTGTGACCCCCTACATAGTTGCAGATACTCTGTCTCAGTCGTTATTGGTCCTTAGGAGTGCACAGTATATGGACAGTATACACACATCAAAATATATCAGCCTTCCCATGAAACCTAGAACATAGGCCATTGCAGTGTTTTTTAGGTTACTCTTCCCCTAGGAAGTAGACAAAGAATAAAAATAAGATATGAGCATTTGTATAGCTTTTATTACTTTCCAAAGTGGTTTTGTTGTTGTTGTTGTTGTTTTTGGTTTTGGGGGTTTTTTGATATGGTATCTCATTTTATACTTACAACAGGTCTGTGAGGTAGAGAAGGAATAATCCCCAGTTTGCAGGATGAGTAAATGGAGGCTGGGTGAGGTGGCTCACTCCTGTAATCCTAGCGCTTTGGGAGGCTGAGGTGGGAGGATCACTTGAGCCCAGGAGTTGGAGACCAGCCTGGGCAACATGGTGAAACCCCGTCTCTATTTTTTTGTTTTGTTTTGTTTTAAAGAGAGTTGGCCGGGCA